CGTTGTTTGAATTAACAATAGTGCAATCGAACCCGTCATTATCCTGTTTAACTTGTAAAAGCACTCCAATTATTAGTCAACAGTGTCTCAAATATTTAATAAATCAACAAATTACTTCTTAAAAGGTTTGGTTGTACACTAGAAAAACATTTTATTATGCAATATTAAGTCGAAAAATCATCCAATAATCTTATTTTTTTTTGGGTCTGGAATCATCCTCATTCCTAAATAATATTGGTTGGTCTCAATTTGGGTAATTTTTATCTGTCACACGTGCAAGGACTGGATTCATACTTANTTGAAAAATCATCCAATAATCTTTTTTTTTTGGGTCTGGAATCATCCTCATTCCTAAATAATATTGGTTTGTCTCAATTTGGGTAATTTTTATCTGTCACACGTGCAAGGACTGGATTCATACTTATCCAATTCCCTCCCATTGTATGAACAAATTGATGGAAAAACCTACCTTACCAGAATCCTACCGGCCACTAATCCCATGGCCCATTTAACACCACAAGCTTCCGGGTGGGGCCCGGGGATCCAATCTGGTCCACATTGTTTAGTATGTGTGGAAAGAAATTAAACTTTACTTAGCCTAGCCTTGGCTTGAGCTAGCTTNAAGGGTTGTCTTGGCCTTTCTCTGCTAAACCATGTGCAGATGGCTCGTTAGAGCTTTCAATTAAACACCCTACTTATTAAACCAGTGGAAGATGATGACAAACATCAATTAAATAATTAAGAGGCGGCAATTGCAGTTAGAGTCCCTACATTTTGAGTAATTGAATATGACAGACTTTCAATTAAAGCACTACAATGACCAACANTGCCCATGCTAATCTCTTAAGCTAATCAACACTGATTATGCTTGATTGAACAAACTTCACAATGAGCTCTGGTCATTGTATATTTACCTTAATAAGTGTATGTGTGTAAAACTATGATACGACTTGTTAATACGACACGAAGATAATAAGAATTAGATGATTTTAATTTTCTTTAAGNTTCCCATGCTAATCTCTTAAGCTAATCAACACTGATTATGCTTGATTGAACAAACTTCACAATGAGCTCCGGTCATTGTATATTTACCTTAATAAGTGTATGTGTGTAAAACTATGATACGACTTGTTAATACGACACGAAGATAATAAGAATTAGATGATTTTAATTTTCTTTAAGCCATCCGTTTTAGAAACGCGTGGATCCGATATGACACAATTAATAAATTAATCGGATATAAGTGTCAATCAAAATAATTACACGACTTGACTTGTTTATAAATCGATTATACACAACACAAATCTAGTATGATACAGACTTATTAGACTCGAATTAATAGACAAATCGAGTATGAGTGAAGTGTTTTTTTGACATAAGCTCTCTAAGACTCGACACAAACTCCCCTTATTCGATACGATTGACAGACTTACTTAAGTGTACAATATATTGTCTATAACAATTACTAAAAATCATTTAATAGACAATTTTATCTCNATACAAATCTAATATGATACAAACTTATTAGACTCGAATTAATAAACAAATCGAGTATGAGTGAAGTGTTTTTTTGACATAAGCTCTCTAAGACTCGACACAAACTCCCCTTATTCGATACGATTGACAGACTTACTTAAGTGTACAATATATTGTCTATAACAATTACTAAAAATCATTTAATAGACAATTTTATCTCATTATGGAGGAGGTGATTTTAATAGGTTTGACATTGTACACTATTTAAACATAAAACACGATAATAGTGCAATTCTTTTCGATTTCTTTGGATGAGATATTATTAAGGATTAAAATTTTGTTGCGATGCATTATTTTGGTCACTTATAAAACAGAAATATTTTGGAAGTAGAATGAAAACGAATAATTTTCAAAACATAATGTAACATTGGTTGGAATATATTGCAATTATCTTGAAATACCTTGGAACATGTCAAAACATATCAAATTATTAGAATTTTGATTTCATCACTGATTTACCTCGATCTCCTTAAAAACAAAAATGTCTCGACCGTTTCAAAACGAAATTTTAATTATTAGATTCTTACTCAAGCTCAACTTAGTTTTAAGTTTGTTGGTATTTGAACTAATGTCAAGTTAAAATTGAACTCAATTCATCAAACAAAATAAAATAAATTTTAAACCTTGTTAATTTCAAAATTTCAAAATGTGTCTTTTAATCAAAAAATATCAAAAGTGATTTGGTCTTAAGTCCCAATAATAATACTCATTTAAAAAGGTGTTCCATAACGAAAACGTATCGGTGATGATTTTAAGAAAGCCTATACTTATTTAGAATGATGCATTTTAACCAAAATGTGCCAATGACAATGAAAGTCACACTTTTTTTTCAAAAATCACAAATAGTCAAAAGAGGATTGAATGGTATGGGTCCTCAAATTGGTAAAGGCCTAACGGGTTGTCTTGGCCTTTCTCTGCTAAACCATGTGCAGATGGCTCGTTAGAGCTTTCAATTAAACACCCTACATATTAAACCAGTGGAAGATGATGACAAACATCAATTAAATAATTAAGAGGCGGCAATTGCAGTTAGAGTCCCTACATTTTGAGTAATTGAATATGACAGACTTTCAATTAAAGCACTACAATGACCAACACAATCACAGCAGAGACCTTGTGAAGCCATGTTATAGAATTCGATTGCCTAATTGCTGATACTCTAGATAGGTAAGACCCGGGGGAACTTTAGTATAGTTGATCTCAAGTTGAAGTTTCACATGATATTTTTCAATTGATCTAAGTAATATTTGTGATTTTTGAATGATTGTATGCATTTTAAGTCAACCTAGCACTCACGAGTTCAAAGAAAAGTGTGATTTAGATGATTCTCAAATATATTAAAAATTGATACCTTAATGGTCCGCCTGTTAATTATTTAAAATATGGGTCTTGCCCTACATACATAGAAACTTTTTCTATGACTCAAATTCATTAGATCTATATCGTAATAAAACAAACTTACCATGTGCTTATCTTTTATTCATGAAAATATGATAAAAAAATTTCTCTTGATTTGATTTCTTAACCTATGGATTTCAAATATGGTCGGACATCATTCACACAACTAATATCCAGTTTTTTTATTTTGATTAGGAAAACTTGTAATTTTATTTAGGTTGGCAAATGTCAATTACAATTAGAAAGATATAAAACCATAAGCTCGAGTGGAGGACAACTGACTCAGATTGCGATTCACTCCATTAATTTTTTTGCATAATTTCACTCAATAATAATGATAGGTCAGACCCAAGGGCCCAACTCATGCTATGAGTCCAATTTAAATTAAGAGATCAATTTCAAGAGATTTAGCGCCCAAAGTGGTCCACGTCCGATAAAGTTCATCAAGTTCAAAGAGTTATATCAACAGAGGAGCATGCAAGGGTCATCCAAGAACCTCCTCCTAGCCACCTTAGAATAAGCGTCATCCAAGAGTCTCATCCTGGCTGTCTTGGAGAGAGTCAACTCTCACCTCATCACCTCATCCTTTGACCGAGTCTTATGAAAAGTAGTGTAATTGCATCGCTCGTTGAGAAGAGGTTGCTATCTCTGCCTCCGCCGAATCATCTATTAATTATTATTAAATCAACCCAATTTATTGTGACTGCCAAATTAGTTATTCAATTACTATGCGTTATGAGACAACTATAAATTGTAAGTCTTGCCAACACTTGGGGGACATCATCACATTCAGTTTACCTCTTCCTCTCTAAGCTTGTAACTCTCAGCTCTCCCTACACACTTGAGTTAATAACATACCGAGCGACTTTTATTATTTAAAGTGGACGTAAGTCACGTTGACCGAACTACTATAAACTTTGTCTTCTCTCTCCCTCTACTTATATTTACTGCATTTTGTATTGCTTACTTGACAGGTGATGTGTAAACCAATTTGTGCATTATCAAATATATCATTTGTCATATATTTACGTGAAATCTATTATTTATATGTGAACTCATTAACTATATACAGTAAATGATCTATTATTGAGTAAAATTATATAAGAAATAACGGAAAGGATTTAAAAAAACTAACAAATTGCCTAATGTCCTAGATGAGTGCACAAAAAATAGGCAGCCAAGCCAAGCCTTCCTCAAACTCAAATTTTTTTTTTTTTTTGCAGTGATGAATGAATCTCCTATGGGCAAATCTAATGTCTTTTAGGACATCCATGAAGATTTAAAACAATTTAATGATGAACAAAGCCCGCTCTGCTGCCAAGGGGTGGTTGTTGGGGATGGTTAATTATTTGGAATTGGATGGTCACCAAACTACATATCAACTTGGTTTGATTTTGCTGCTAATTATTACTTAATTATTTTTAAATGCCCCATTACCCCACAAACAGCCCCTTTTCCCTCTATATGTAGTAGCCCCACGCAGACCCATCTTCTCCTCTCTCTCTCTCTCTCGCGCACACACATTCACCTTGGTAATAATTGTCCAATTCATTACTCAAACCCAAACTTCTAAATCTAAACTCAATGAGCCACAAGCGTCCCTTTTCCTGGTTATTCTCTCTCTCTCTGCTTTTTATAATGTCTACATCCAAATTATGCAGGAAACGTACCAATGTGGGTTCTGGTTGTCGTGTTAAACCTTAACAGCAAGAATCTCTCTCTCTCTATCTCTCCATTAATACACACCTATTCTTCTTCTTAGTATAATGCCATCAACTATCAACCAATTCATTTATCTGAGTCTACCTTTTGGTTTGGTACCTTCTCTCCAGCGTTCTCACCTTCTCCCATGACTATACGAATAGAATAATCGAAATATATTTGCATCTTTTTGTCACAGAACGCATTATATTTGTCTCTCTCTAATGTAAAATTCTCTCCTCTCCTCCAAAGCAAAGTAGCTGAACTCTTAACTTTTTCTCTCTCCACCTTTCTTTATTCCTTTCTCCTTTAAACATCCTTTTTGGTTTCTCGGTTTCTGTGTTCTTATAGAGATCCGCTACAAAATGGGGTTTTCCCAACGTAGTTTCACCAACTCTATAGACCCTCTTCACAGTTCAATCCCTACAAGCAATACTTCCGCTATATCCACTGATCAGTACTGTAACTATAATGAGGTAAAAATCAAATCTTTATTCTACAAAATGATTTGGGAAATTGGGTTTGGTTGTATTCTCCCACCTCGCCGGCGGCAAGAAGATCGGGCCGACACTGAGAAGGGTGACAACAAATTAGAGCACAACAAGGCTTGGTTGCTAGCGGAATCTGGTGGTTGTGCTGCAGAGTTGACAAATGCTGAACCACACTCAGTTCACTCCTCTTTCAGGTTCAGTTTCTGCTCTCAAGTTGANCTCTCTCTCTCTCTCTCGCGCACACACATTCACCTTGGTAATAATTGTCCAATTCATTACTCAAACCCAAACTTCTAAATCTAAACTCAATGAGCCACAAGCGTCCCTTTTCCTGGTTATTCTTTCTCTCTCTGCTTTTTATAATGTCTACATCCAAATTATGCAGGAAACGTACCAATGTGGGTTCTGGTTGTCGTGTTAAACCTTAACAGCAAGAATCTCTCTCTCTCTATCTCTCCATTAATACACACCTATTCTTCTTCTTAGTATAATGCCATCAACTATCAACCAATTCATTTATCTGAGTCTCCCTTTTGGTTTGGTACCTTCTCTCCAGCGTTCTTACCTTCTCCCATGACTATACGAATAGAATAATCGAAATATATTTGCATCTTTTTGTCACAGAACGCATTATATTTATCTTTCTCTAGTGTAAAATTCTCTCCTCTCCTCCAAAGCAAAGTAGCTGAACTCTTAACTTTTTCTCNCCTTTACTTCTCTTAGCAGATTTTGGAGCAATTTCAGAATCAACATGAACACTATTTTCTTCCAATTTGGACATACAGTCTTAAGGTTTTTTCCGTATCCCATTAATGAAAGGAAAGATCTGTTATATTGGATTAAGCATTTGACACAGTTCACTTTGATTTTACGAGGCTGTCTGTTGAAGAGTTTTAAGATATGAAGAAGAAACCTGTCATGTCAAATATTGCACTTCATTTTTGGTGATGTTCAATTTGTCTTTTCTTTTTCCTTGTCTTGACATGCCATTTACCTTGGTGCTCTAATTTTCCTCAAAACAACACTATTTTGGATCCATTTGTGCCTTTCAAGAAGCTATGGAGGACATTGAAATAGTATCTTTTATAAAATTTCTTAAAAAAGATCTGGCCATGTCATTTTAGATTTTGAGTGCCTAAGTTGTGCATCCATGATCCATGTTGTAGGCTTCCTTCAACTCTTTTCGGGATGATACTTTTAGGAAAACAGGCTAGACAATTCAACTTTGGTTCTTATATGATCCGAACATTACAATTATGTGATTGCATGCCTGAGCTAACATCATTGCACTTTGCCTTGATTTTAATTCCACTGTGACAAAAGGGAGCCTTAATAATGAGATATGCCATTTCTTTTCCGTTAGCTATGTTGTAAAAGTTGCTGCCTGGTTACCTATGTTACAGGGATTGGGATATGCATGTTGGTTTCTGGGGTGTGTATGTGTTAAGATATGACGATATAAATGTGTTGTCACCTTGGCCAATTTTTTTAAAAAAATAATCATTTATCGTTTACATAGGATAAAAATGACACTTCACAGTGGAATATCTCGTAAGATTTGGGTGTTGATATTGTTTATAGTACATCCAGTACTTAGGCAACATTTGTAGTAGGTATCTGATGAAATGAGTGAACTGGCTTTCTGTTCCTCTATACTTTCAATGGACTTCAATGAGTTTATGCTCCTATATAATGAAACGCTGCGAGTGTAGTAGGTGCTTGTTAATTTAAGCTTCTATTCAATATTAATGGCAGCAGAGATATTGATTTCATAAATTTGCAGGCAAAGCCATTATTGCAGCAAGGAACCATTGAAGTTTTGCTTGATCCAAGGCTCACCTTCACTAAAAAAAATTCAAAACAAATAACCCGAATGGTTCAAGCTGCAGCTGCATGTATAAACAACGAAGAATCCCGGAGGCCCAACATTGATGAAATTATTTCAATATTGAGAGGAGCAGAATCTAATTTCCCCAACAGGAAGAAGTCTGGCTTCCCTGGTAATAATTGTNATAAACAACGAAGAATCCCGGAGGCCCAACATTGATGAAATTATTTCAATATTGAGAGGAGCAGAATCTAATTTCCCCAACAGGAAGAAATCTGGCTTCCCTGGTAATAATTGTGTCGTTGATTGCTACTCTCAGTTGCAGCAGACAAAAAATGAAATGAAGACTCATTTAGCATTGGCCATGCTAGGAGTTTCAGAGCTTGAGGACGACGATCACCTATACTGTCGATGAAATGGAAACAATTCGAACAATCTAATTTTCACCCCCCTATTTTAATTGTGTGTCTGTCTTGCTTGAAGGGGAAGCCCTTGCAGAGCTGGATGAGCTTTTCAAAAGTGTATATAGTCTGATGAGCAATTGTGTTTGTAGTTGTACATACTTGCATGTCCTTGCCCTTTGCTTTAGAGGGAAGGTTGACAGATTTTTCTTTTGCAAAAGCTTGGAGTGCTGATTTGAACCACACTGCTGAACGATTCTTTATGTTGATCTTTAAACACATTCTCTGTTCTCTGTCTGTCCTCTGCTCTTTCAATTTTTTTTCTTGTTTATTTTCTTTTGGGGAGTCTTGCAAAACTTCTCTTCTTAATATTATTGTTGTTGTTGGTGGTGGTGGTGGTGAACATGCTGAGTGTGAGATTGGCGAGGAACATGCATGATGGGCCACATGACCCGACTAGGCTGTATGTTGTATAACTATCTAGTTGTGACATTGGCACGAGGGTATCAAACACGTGTCAACATGCACATATAAAATGTATTACAGCGTGTTTTTCGACAATAGGTATTAAATTCAGATAAAGAAAGAAGGTTGTGTTAGGTAGTTAAGTTGATAGCTCAACTCTTTTTTTTTTTAAGATTTAATGTGAACATTATTCATAGACACGTAGGTAAAATAATACACATATTAGGTATATATTAGANTTTTTTTTGTTAAGATTTAATGTGAACATTATTCATAGACACGTAGGTAAAATAATACACATATTANCTTTTTTTTTTTAAGATTTAATGTGAACATTATTCATAGACACGTAGGTAAAATAATACACATATTAGGTATATATTAGAACTACATTGCCTCCCACCATTTTCAAATGTAAAGAGTCAACTAATAGCTATAGTTTAGGTAAACTAAAAAAAAAAAATAATGGTTCTTCAATATAGCAATTGCAACCGATAGTGGCGGAGCCGGAAAAAAGTTTTAGGGTGGGCGCTCTTATACATTTTATCCTAGTTGATAAAAACAAAATGACACATTATATTATTTATTTTATTGATGATTTTTAAAAATTCTACGCATATATGTGTACAATTGAAAATAGATTAATTATAGTTTTTGATTGAAAATGAGGTTAATTATAATTTGTTATAATCAATCTAACAAATTTTTATACTTTGATAGNTCATTTTTAAAAATTCTACGCATATATGTGTACAATTGAAAATAGATTAATTATAGTTTTTGATTGAAAATGTGGTTAATTATAATTTGTTATAATCAATCTAACAAATTTTTATACTTTGATAGCGTTGTTTAATGACTTTATTGTTAACAACTAATAAAATTGATGTCAAAATAACTGATATGTATACTTGAGGATATACTATGCTTTTTTTTATTTTAAATTTTTTTGAGTAAGAATACAAATCTCTGTTAAAGTTTAAACTCAATATTAAAGTGTACATTAATAATAAATAGTCAAATTGATCAAAAGATTTTCAAATGAACCTAATATATTCAAATTAATATGAGTATGTCTTAAGCGTATCCATTTTTAGTTATTTAGGTATGAGTATGTACTAATTGGTATGATAAAAAAATAAAATAATACTATAAGAACTTAATTTGAGGACTTAATCAAGGACCTTATTTAATATAATTGTTAGATTAGTTGTAAATTCCAAAATTTGATGAAACCCATTTTTAATTCAATTACTATATTGATTTAAGTTTTCAAGGGTGGCCTAAAGTTCCTCCACCGAATTGTAGTACGAAAATATCTCCAAAGATCTCGGCTAGAGCAATCATATGCCAAACATGAATACCTTCTGAAACCATGGGCAGAACACCTGGTACATGTCTTTCGGTGTATCATTAATATTCCCCAAATCAATATACAACTTTTTCTTGAATCAACAAATAAAAAATGATTGATAAATACATTTACACTAATGAAACAAATCAATAAAGAATTAATAAAAGAAATCAAATTTGTTTTAATAATTATGTCTTAATAATTTTTTTCAAAAAAATAATAGAATAAAAATAATTAAATATACTTAAAAAAATATAATTATAATGATAAGAAAAAAAATTAAAAATTGGGAGTGGGCACTATTGCACACACACTTTACCCAACTGTAAATTTATTATTGGATAATAACACTGCATAATAATAGTGATGTGATATTACTGTTATACCCAATATTTACTCCACCTCTTACGTCTCATTATGGAGAAAAAATTCAATGTAACGGTGACACCACGTCATTGCTACCACATGATTTCACCGATCAATTATAAATAAATTAGTAAGATTGGTAGATCCCACTAAATTTTATAACCATAAATAACTTCTACATTCAATAACTATCATATAAGATTTGTGATACTCACTTGCCCTAATGGTGATGACATTGTATAACCGTTACATTGAATATTTATGTATTGGGCTTGTTAAGGTAAAAGGCATGAATGTATAAATGGAGCTGTTCCAAGATCCTCATATACTGATGAAAATTGCAAGAGAGAGAAATTAGTAAGGCAAAAATGTTGTACATAATCTTTCCATATTCAGCTGAATAGAATACATCCCCATTATTATTTTCTTTATCTAATTTGGGATGCGGATGAAAGCTGGCTTGATGCCTAGCAAGAAAGAAACCTGGGATAATCTCTTAAACCAAATAACAACTTGAGAGGGACTTGGAAGGTACTTGTCTAATTACAGCGTCTCGGACAAAAAATCTACGCCACTGGCTTAAGCAGGGCATTCAGCACTGCTGCTCTTGTCGGCAAAGCTGGAATTGCACCTCGCTCCATCACAGTCAAGGCGCCACAACCATTGGCGAAACTTAGAGCATCTCTCAGTCGGTCCTCCTCCTACGAAGAAAACTAGATTTAGCACCAATGTACAAAGCAGATAGATTTGCTCGCAACGGAATATCAAACTGACTAAGAATTCAAATGCAAGAGCTTATAAACAAGCAAGAAACAATATATTAGTCCTATAAATCGTTTCCAGATGCAGCCGAGAACAGATAATGTACCATTTCATGGCTTCTCAAAATAGTCAATGAATTATCAAAAGGGTATTGAGCATTGTCCAAAATAAAAATTAGCGCATCCTCAAGTTTTAATCAAAGAAGGATTTATCCAACCTTATCTTAGTCGATTTGATTTACCTGAAGCTCATCTAAATTGCAATGTTAGAGATTTAAGAAACTTCTATTTAGGTGGACAGAGAGAAACTTTTGTGAATGAATGCATGACTTTTATGAACTAGATATCACCCTGTATCCTAAGTTCTACACTGGAGATCTATCTGCTCTGAGAGTTGAATGCCAGAGGAATTATATCAGAGTCAATGATTTTGTTCCTTCCTTTCCAGTGCAGTACTTATGCTTTGTGCATCCATATATGCATGTGATTGGAAAAGCAAATACAATCAGGATTAGCAAACTAGAAGATTTGAAGTCAAAAAGAAAGGTGGCAATCAGACAAATTGTCGAGTATAACGAAGTTCAATGCTGCTTGATTGCAAACTACTCTTTTGAGGCACCCTCATAGTCTAATTTTCAGATCAGCATACACATGCATCAAGCGCACTCAATGCAGATCATTCTAGCAACATCAGTACTCGCAAAAATTGTTCCACAAGTACAAAACCAGGCAAAACAACCAGATAATATAATCATCGCCCTATTGAAGAAGATACAGCCAAGTGAAATACAATGCTCGCAAGCAAGACAATGGTGAGTTATGCAATACATAAATATCGATCTCTCCCAAGCAGAGGGCCTTCTTTGGGATATAGAATACATANCACTGCATAATAATAGTGATGTGATATTACTGTTATACCCAATATTTACTCCACCTCTTACGTCTCATTATGGAGAAAAAATTCAATGTAACGGTGACACCACGTCATTGCTACCACATGATTTCACCGATCAATTATAAATAAATTAGTAAGATTGGTAGATCCCACTAAATTTTATAACCATAAATAACTTCTACATTCAATAACTATCATATAAGATTTGTGATACTCACTTGCCCTAATGGTGATGACATTGTATAACCGTTACATTGAATATTTATGTATTGGGCTTGTTAAGGTAAAAGGCATGAATGTATAAATGGAGCTGTTCCAAGATCCTCATATACTGATGAAAATTGCAAGAGAGAGAAATTAGTAAGGCAAAAATGTTGTACATAATCTTTCCATATTCAGCTGAATAGAATACATCCCCATTATTATTTTCTTTATCTAATTTGGGATGCGGATGAAAGCTGGCTTGATGCCTAGCAAGAAAGAAACCTGGGATAATCTCTTAAACCAAATAACAACTTGAGAGGGACTTGGAAGGTACTTGTCTAATTACAGCGTCTCGGACAAAAAATCTACGCCACTGGCTTAAGCAGGGCATTCAGCACTGCTGCTCTTGTCGGCAAAGCTGGAATTGCACCTCGCTCCATCACAGTCAAGGCGCCACAACCATTGGCGAAACTTAGAGCATCTCTCAGTCGGTCCTCCTCCTACGAAGAAAACTAGATTTAGCACCAATGTACAAAGCAGATAGATTTGCTCGCAACGGAATATCAAACTGACTAAGAATTCAAATGCAAGAGCTTATAAACAAGCAAGAAACAATATATTAGTCCTATAAATCGTTTCCAGATGCAGCCGAGAACAGATAATGTACCATTTCATGGCTTCTCAAAATAGTCAATGAATTATCAAAAGGGTATTGAGCATTGTCCAAAATAAAAATTAGCGCATCCTCAAGTTTTAATCAAAGAAGGATTTATCCAACCTTATCTTAGTCGATTTGATTTACCTGAAGCTCATCTAAATTGCAATGTTAGAGATTTAAGAAACTTCTATTTAGGTGGACAGAGAGAAACTTTTGTGAATGAATGCATGACTTTTATGAACTAGATATCACCCTGTATCCTAAGTTCTACACTGGAGATCTATCTGCTCTGAGAGTTGAATGCCAGAGGAATTATATCAGAGTCAATGATTTTGTTCCTTCCTTTCCAGTGCAGTACTTATGCTTTGTGCATCCATATATGCATGTGATTGGAAAAGCAAATACAATCAGGATTAGCAAACTAGAAGATTTGAAGTCAAAAAGAAAGGTGGCAATCAGACAAATTGTCGAGTATAACGAAGTTCAATGCTGCTTGATTGCAAACTACTCTTTTGAGGCACCCTCATAGTCTAATTTTCAGATCAGCATACACATGCATCAAGCGCACCCAATGCAGATCATTCTAGCAACATCAGTACTCGCAAAAATTGTTCCACAAGTACAAAACCAGGCAAAACAACCAGATAATATAATCATCGCCCTATTGAAGAAGATACAGCCAAGTGAAATACAATGCTCGCAAGCAAGACAATGGTGAGTTATGCAATACATAAATATCGATCTCTCCCAAGCAGAGGGCCTTCTTTGGGATATAGAATACATAAAGCAGTATAGACAACGCATAAAATTATTAGGTATATTGCTGGGAATCAATACCTGAAGCAATGAGACATCAGCTGCTAGTTGTGATAATATTCCAGCCACAAAAGCATCCCCAGCACCTGTAGTGTCCACAGCATCCACTTCTAAGCCTTTCACTCTTCCACTGAACTCCTGTACAAATATATAAACTACAAATTGATGATTGCCTCCTTGAGTCACAAGCCACCAAGTGGGAACGAGTGCAAATCCCAAGCTGTAAAATACAGCTTTGTGAAATTAACTATACATCTAGGTCTTGACATTGCAGCACCATTTTGTTAGTATTTTAAAGACCCTAATTTTTCAATTTGAACTTGACATGAANTTTTAGATTAGTTGTAAATTTCAAAGTTTGATGAAACTCATTTTTAATTCAATTACTATATTGAATTAGGTCTTCAAGGGTGGCCTAAAGTTCCTCCACCGAATTGTAGTACGAAAATATCTCCAAAGNCACTAATTTTTCAATTTGAACTTGACATGAACATGCTTAACTGATATAATATGCAACCCATTTTGAGTCAAAAGCAAAAAAAATTTTGGCAAAAGGTATGGCCAACAGCGTTAGGGTGTAAAATTTGGTAACTAATCATATCTAAGNCCCTAATTTTTCAATTTGAACTTGACATGAACATGCTTAACTGATATAATATGCAACCCATTTTGAGTCAAAAGCAAAAAAATTTTTGGCAAAAGGTATGGCCAACAGCGTTAGGGTGTAAAATTTGGTAACTAATCATATCTAAGTTCTTATCTTAGTTGCAGTGGAATTTAATAATCAAATGGAATTAGNATTTGTTTTAATAATTATGTCTTAATAATTTTTTTCAAAAAAATAATAGAATAAAAATAATTAAATATAATTATAATGATAAGAAAAAAAATTAAAAATTGGGAGCGGGCACTATTGCACACACACTTTACCCAACTGTAAATTTATTATTGGATAATAACANGAAATTTAATAATCAAATGGAATTAGAGCAAATCCAATAAACATTTATGCTAGAAACTGATCCCATGTTTGACACACAAACACTGTGACACAGAACAGTATATAAAAGAGAAAAGGAAGTTTCAAAGAGGGAGAAACATAGCTTTTGTGTTTCAGCACAATGCACCCTCTGTGAACTAACATATTTTTGGGGGTTTACCTTGGTGTAGTACCTGCAACCCTCTGGGCCTTCTGTGANGGAATTTAATAATCAAATGGAATTAGAGCAAATCCAATAAACATTTATGCTAGAAACTGATCCCATGTTTGAAAACACAAACACTGTGACACAGAACAGTATATAAAAGAGAAAAGGAAGTTTCAAAGAGGGATAAACATAGCTTTTGTGTTTCAGCACAATGCACCCTCTGTGAACTAATATATTTTTGGGGGTTTACCTTGGTGTAGTACCTGCAACCCTCTGGGCCTTCTGTGACAAGAAGCAATTTAAGATTTGGATGGTACAATTTACGAACAACAGCATCATCAAATGGATCTTCTCCTTTTGTCAAAAAAGAAATCTCCTCCTCACTTATCTGGCAGCAAAATGAACAAAATCCTCAAAGATAGTGTACTCATTTACATTTTTCCATTGTGTTGCTAGCTGTTTTATAAAGACGAAAAAACAAAAGCATTGCAAGAGCAGAGAGCAATACTGCNATATGAACAAAATCCTCAAAGATAGTGTACTCGTTTACATTTTTCCATTGTGTTGCTGGCTGTTTTATAAAGACGAAAAAACAAAAGCATTGCAAGAGCAGAGAGCAATACTGCATATTTAGAAGAAGGAATACCTTTATAATATCAGCGGTCTCCCAAATGCTCAGAATTCCTTCTCTGGCATCCTCCGCAGATGCCCACAATGGAAGCCTGAGGTTGGGATCGTAAGACAAAATTACACCAGCATCCTTTGCAGCTTTTGCTGCAGCAATATGGGCTGACTTGCAGGGTTCTGTAATCAAACTTATTGAACCATAATGAAAAATTTTTGCCTGCCACAGGATATGACAAGTCACTCGGTTTACTGTATATAAGCGATTTGTGAATATCATCAAAAAATCAAATTATTCACATCATTAAATATTCAAATAAGAAGATCAACATCTTCTAAGCTAAAATCAACATAAAATCATATCACTTTCACAAGAAGCATCAAATAAACCACAAGAAGTATTGAACATAATTTTAAACAAAAAAGAATATCAGAATTTAATAAATACACCTTGTTGCCTGGTTGTTTTAGCAGAAAAGTTTGATTTCTTTCCTTCATTTCATCCAATTTTTTCTTTTTCTTATTAAATGATAAATTTTCCATTTGCTTAATTACCAAGAAAAACATGCTCATATACCTTTCTAATTAAATCGAAATCAAGTTCCGCTTCTTGAAGCAGCATATCAGCACTAGGGTTCCGATAAAACATGAACTCACGTTCCCCATCCTTTCTCAGTGTGACGAATGCTAAGGCTGTTCGGGCACCTGGATCAAAGCGCATGCCTTCATTGTTCACATTATTCTCCTTCAAAATGTCCGCCAGCATGTACCCAAATTCATCTTCACCAACCTGTGCACAGGGATTTGTGTAAATACATCAAGTGTCTTAATTCTATCGAGGAAGCACATATGCATATCAAGATTAAAGAGAAAGACACAATTACACGATTCAACATCAAGGAGAAAATATATATAACTCAAAAATGTTCTGAATTATAGCATTAAAGCCTTGAGGTGATGACAAAAAGGACAACTGTGTGACATAAATGAGTCCAGGCCACTCATTTGATCCAGGGTACATGGTTAGCCCAATGAATGGCAGTTTAATTTACAGCTTCAAGAAGCAGGTTTTTCATTTTCACTATGTTGGTGAATAGCAGCTTCAGGAGGAGGAGGGGACTGCAAATGCCTGGGGAATTATGAAGTGGCCAGGATAGCTCCTTGCTTGCACATAGCAGAATAAAAGCAAAAGGTGTTTCCAGTAATTATTCATTAGAATAAAGGGCCAGTCTAGTAAGGCAAATACCAAAAGAATATGAAAATTTCCACACTGATAAGTTGTATGCCAGATCCTGAAATCAGCTTTATTTTTTGTAAGGGAAAATGCTTTAGTAAAGAGACAATGACATATGATAGTGTAGCACTTTCGTATTAAATGGCTTAGAAGGCAATCCAAACACATGTTAGTGTAACCAAATAAAATAATATATATGTTTCTTCTTTATTCCATTGAAGTTCTATTTTTTCTGCCAATTAAACAGAAACATATCCAAGCATAAAAGAAATCTAGCAAATACATGTGTCTAAAGTGTTTTTACAACTAGAATTGAATCTTGAAAGATTAGATCAGTCTATATATTACCTTTCCAATAAAAGCTGATGAACCACCAAGGCGAGCTATGCCAACAGCAACATTAGCAGGTGCACCACCAGGAGCTTTCTTAAATGCAGGTGCTTCAGCCAGTGAGAGCCCACTTGTAGTTGGGACAAAATCGATTAACATTTCCCCAAAGCAAACCACAAGTGCAGAGTCATCCTTTTGAAGTGAACCATCATCAGTTGGCAATGCTTTTCCTAAGTCAATTGCAGCACAACAGGCAAAAAAAATCAAATACAAGAAACAAAGAAAAAAATCGTCTTGTTATTAAATATTCATAGAACAAGTTTTGATTTCTAATCATTTACCCATCCATTTCTAAGTGAACCTATGTGATGGGACTTTTCTGAAATACTCCATGATGAAGACACGTGTCCTCGGTATTTTACCAAAACACTGTTGCTAAGATCAAGCACCATCGGCGTACAAAGGTCCTCGCCCCCGAGGTACTCGTCATATAGGATCATGGCATTCAGTACGAGTTACAACCAACACGTAGCCTCGGTCTGATATGGTACCTCGGTCGGTATACCTCCCTCGGTTCCGAGATGGCCTTTCCTCGGTGCCGAGAGGTACCCCGTCCTGGACGCTTCCTCTACTCCAGGATAAGCTATTGACGTACAGGTCATTAGCCTAGGCTAGTTTAGGCTATTCATCATGACCTCGTCTTACACAATTAGTGTCAAAACGTACTAGAATGCAGGGGCTACAGCCAATGGGGGATGAACGCGTGACATATGATATCACATCGAAGACAGAGAAACCGCATGCCGTTGCTGACACGCGACTTGGGAAAGCAAACGATTAATTACACCATTCCCTTGACGAGACCGCATTCAATGCGGTAAGGCT